CGATATAATCATATTACCATATAATATTCTGTGATACCATCTGATTTGCTTCATAATATTTATATTCTCACGCATTGCGATTATGCTTCGAAAAGTTAATATGATAACATATTTTGAAATTTAAAACCCCTTCCTCGCGCGTTTTTCGTTAAATATACTCTTCTATTTGAAAATATTCTTTTTTAATATATCTGATTCCCGTCAAATACTCCACAATGTGAATAATCTCACATTTGTTTTTATAGCCTTCTACAAAATTTTCAAAAGTTCAGAATTATGAGATGAAAAAATTTTGAGATTTAAAACCTCTGCCTCGTTTTTCGTTAAATATACTCTTTCATTTGAGAATATTCTTTTTTAATATATCTGATTCCCGTCAGATACTCCATAATGTGAATAATCTCACACGTCTCTTTTTTATAGCTTTCCACAAAATCTTCAAAAGTTCGAAATTATGAGATGGAAATTTTGAAATGAGTGACCGATGAAATCAGTGATCTCTATTGTGCTACACAAGTGCTCGTAAAACTGTTTTAGAGATTTGCGAGCAAAAACGCTCGGTAATAAATTATAAGAGAACGAGGAGCGGGGACACGTCGACGGAACAGGACACGAGTCATCTAAAATCACAATGCAGCTGGAGAGAAGCGATATGCATTCCACGATCGATATGAATTTATTCCACGGAACGGAACGCGAATCCTCGGCGAAGAACGAGGAACGGTTTCTATGTACGAGTCGTTCATCTATTAATCTCGTCTGTATAATCGTTATAGATACTTTCGGGAGATACCACATAACAGATTACTATCGGCGAAACAGGACAAGGAAGTGTGTCCGTCTAAGTCGTTGAATTATAAGCGTACCGTACTCTCCACGCTGCAAATGGCAAATGCGAATTTCTTAGGGAGTTTACCTCGCTTTCGGGATAATCGGCACTTAACGGCTCTCAAATTTACTCTATACCTTGAAGAAGACTGCTGATGACCGGGGTCCAACAACGTTTCCGTATTGTTCGTTGCGCTGTCGAGGCTGCTCTGCCGCCTTGAGTCCTGATCCTCGGACTTGTCGTCCTGAATTGGCTTCAGGAAGGACTCCCGGTCGCCCTCGGTGCTCTCGTCCTTCGAGCCCCTCCGCGGATTCGACGACGCGAGAGGCAAGTTATCTGCACTGCGAACCTTGCGACACAATTTGGACGTGGACCCGTGGCGTCGCAGAAATTCCTGAAATCACAAGGCGTCGGGCGTGATTTGGGGAGTACCGCGCGATTGGGATGATATTTCTAATGGTCTTTTTTTTTATATTTTTTAAAATCAGAATTAGACTTCGTATGGACACTTTTTCACGTTGTGCGTCATTTAGTGTAGTACAATACGAGTGTAATGTGATAACATAAGATAGGACAGTAAGTAAAACAAGGTAAAAGAGTATAAACAGGTTCGTAAATTGAAGAGAGTGTAATGTTTCTTTTAGAGCGAAGTATTTTTATCATACGGTATTGTAAAACGTGTGCTGTGCTTTGTCCTCCTTCATGCACGAGATCACGAACTTCGGTTTTCGAAAGATGGAGTGAAAAACTTCGAAGTGACGACGCGGCATATTCGTTCCGGCGTGTACTTTTTGCGAGAAGATGATCGATTTTATGTCACGAACGCAACGAAGCGGAATTCGGGTCTAATCAACCCGTGAACCTTGGAGAGGGCGTCTCGAATCGCAAGAACGATAGATATAAGCGGTAGTAGTATATATATATATATTGTTCAAAATTGTAATAAAGCGCCTCGCTACCTTGTCGATTTCCAAAATCCGCATTTTTTGTACAAACAAAGTCAGCTGAGCGACGGGTCCCTTCCCCTCGTGTTTTCGCAAATTAACTCTGCACGTCCAAGGAGGGGAAGAGGACACGTCGGTGAGCACTATTTGTAAGCGTGCTCACCTCACAAACATCTGTGAAAAACAAGCGAAGAATCTCTATCATATACTACTACCGCTTATCAGATAATCAGTCGTTCCCAATTTCTAACAAATTGCAAATTCACAAGACAAATGTATAAATTAATAACCACGGTGCTCTTTTCGTAATATATATATATATATAGGTATATAATATATATATAATATATATAATAT